TCGACAGCCAGTGCAGAGTCGACGTTGTCTGCCTTGAATGGGATTTCTCTGGTGTCTCCGTGAGGCTGGCTGGAGTCAGTAGGGCCATAGCTATTTGAACGAGTGATGAGACATTCCTCCGGTGAGTCTTCAGGGACTCTCTTGACATCAGCCCTCGCCACCTCCCCGACGATCCTGAGGGTATAGAGATGACAAAAGATTAAACAAAGGGGGATTGGACCCCAGCAAGTCCTGGCTGGTTTTCACAGGAGGAATCAGAGAGGGGTCTCAGAAGGCAAATGGGAGGTTCCCTTTGAGAGGAAACAGGCAATCCTCCTCTCTGCCACAGAGCATGGCTGCCATGGGAGCCGGAGAGAAAGAGAGCAGCTGGTATTCATCACACTGGGCAGAAAGGAGCTGAGAAGAACAGAGACTCGGTTATCCCTGCATAATTCAGACACGGCACCCAGCACATACAAAGAACCACAACAGCTGCCACACCCCGTGTCTAAGTTGGGTTGAACAGAACGTATTGTGGCCAAGGGAATGGAGGCTTTTGGCCCATGGCAGACACCAGAGAGGGTGAGATTCTAGATCTTTTCCATACTTTACCACCCACTACTTGCTCCTGATTATTCAGCGTTACCTGGGGGCACGTGGCTCCTCTATTTTCTCAGCCTCTGCGACGTGAACATCTTCATCCTCGTCTTCGTCATTTTCTGCAAGTACAGATGTGTTCGTTCAGACATTTCCCGTTTCACACTCTGCAAGCACCGTCAGCCCCGTGTGCACAGGGACATGAACGTCTGTGTGGGGGTCCCTGTTCTACTCAGAGCTCTCACGATTTCTCCTAAACGAAATGCCCTGGCATGGTTTCCTGATCCACCAGGCAATGCATTTCTGATCCGGAGGCTCACCGTCAAGATGAGGCCCAATGTTGAAAAGGCCTTCTGCCCCCACATCACTGGAGGCTTGCGCAGCCTCTCTCTGGACTTTTTGGCAGCTGTCTCCCCCATCCTGACACAGATCTCATGCCCAGGGACAGGCTAGGCTTGCCTTCCTGTCACAGTTCACATTGAAAACCTACTTCTTCCTCTCAGGAGAGGACAAACAAACTTGTCCCACAATTCTCTGCACATCAGGTGACTTCACAGGCCCTCCAAGTGGCTTCTGCTACGTGATTCAGGGACATTCTCTCCACAGGGAGCGCTCCAGTCTGAACCGCTTCCTAACACCAAATGCCCACACATCAAGTGCTGTCTCCAACACCACACAGCGAGGGGCTTTATCTCGTTTTCATAAGCGGTCCTAAGTGTTCGCACGTTTGAATGCTTCGGACAGCGCAAGACGTCTGCCTTTGCAGATGGAGAGAGAGAAATTTGCCTGACTTTGCAGATGCAGGGACAGAAAGTCAGGAAGGAGAAATCAATTGCTCACTGACACTTACTGAAAACACTGCCGAAGATACAGCCTGGGAACCTTCATTCTTAATCCAGAGCTCTTTCCACTCCAACAACCGCCCTCCTGTCACAGCTTCCTTTGTGTCCTTTACAACTGGACACGTGCTGCCTCTTGTTCCAAAGACCACCTCCCATCAGACGATGTAAGGAGCAGAGTCCTCTTGAAGCTCCCCACAGCGGGTACCGTGTACTATCACGGCATTTCCCCCAGGCCCCCAGAACAGAGCTTTCCCTACCGAACCTCAGCAGAAACCTGAACTGAATGGCAGCTCACGAGCCTCAGACATTTAGACCAACAGGCCAGATGCTACTTGTCTGCAGGATCTTCTGGGGTACAGAGAGGATTCCTGTCAACATGATTGAGTCTCTTGCTGAGAAAAACAGGTGGTTCTGTGCCTGTGTCAGATATCAATAGCTGAGATTTTACCCTGAGTCCCACACCCACCTTACTGCAGACGTGGAAAAGTGGTACATACTTTGGCCTCCCTCATCCATTTTTAACAAAATGTGAAAATACAAATTTATATTTGCCTAGAACTATGGGGAAAATGAAATAAATTCTGATGAAGAGAGTGTTCAGTTTCTCAGACAAAACACAGAACACTCTTCAGCACTTCTGTGACGGTGAGCCTATAGAACTTACCTTCCGTCGTCAGCCGGTAGTGCAAATCGTATGCCGCTTGACTCATAATAAGCTTATTTTGGCTGTCTCCATATTTCTGCTCTTCATCGTCATCCTTTTCATCATCTGTAACCAAATTCAGAATAGCAGGTAATTTTGAGCATATCTCACTTCACATAGGACCAAATCAGTGTACTGTCATTGCACAAGGGCGTGAAATATTCTCCATGGAAGAATGTGACATTATGATGAGAATGTTCTAACGGGCCCTAGACTAAGTCGCCCTAGAAGTAGATTAGCCTGCTTTTCCGATCCATGGGACAAACTCTCCTTCAACTTGTAGATCTTAATCACCTATCCTCTGAGCTAAGCCAGTGCAAACAATTAAAACATTTCCCCAAAATCTTCAAACCTTGCCATAACTACTTTCCAGAAGCCTTGCTGCAATACTGACCTATCTCATCGTATATCATGGTGAATGAATGGTTAGAGAAATTTATATAGGAGACTGGACCAATGGATGAATTCTAACCACATTTACTTAAAAAGGAATCTGTTTAGCCAGCACGGTGCTTCATTCCTGGAATCCAAGCAACTTAGGAGGCCCAAGCAGGCAGACACCTTGACCTCAGGAGGTCAAGACCAGCCTGGCCAACGTGGTGAAATCTTGCCTCTACATAAAATACAAAAATTCACGAGGCACGGTGGTGCCTACCGGGCATCCCAGCTAAATGGAAGGCTGAGGCATCAGTCCCAGCGTACTCCCTGCTCTTGATGATGCCACATACACATACTACATGTTCTATTAGGAGGAGGGTCCCCATCAAGCTCCACACAGGTGGTACTGTGTGCTATCATCGTGTTTCCCCCAGTGTCCCTAGAACACAGCTTTGCCTACTGGGCCTCAGTAGAAACCGGAAATGAATGGAAGTTCAGTAGCCTCAGACATTTAGACCGACAGACTAGATGCTACTTGTCTGTAGGATCTTATATAGTACAGAGAGTATTCCTGCAAACATGGATTTAGCCTCTTGATGAGAAAAACAGATGGTTCTGTACCTGTGTCAGAAATCAATAGCTGGGATTGTAACCCCAGTCCCACACCCACCTTACTGCAGATGTGGAAAAGTTGCTAAATAGTTTGGCCTCTGTCTTCCATCTTTACCAAAATGTTAAAATACCCATTGATATTTTCTGCAAGTATGGGCAGAAAAAATTAATTTTGATGAAGAGAATGGTTAGTTACTCAAGACAAGACAGGACATCATTTATCACTTTCTTGGTGCTCAACCTATAGAACTTACCGTATATCTTCAGCCCGTAGTTCAGGAAGTAGGCCACCTGGATCATAATAAGTCTATTTTTGTTGGCTCTGACATTCAGTTGGTTTTCTTCCTGTTGCGAGCAAGATTTCTCATTGCCTTCTGGAATGTTCACCTCTGTGATTTTTCTGGAAGGCGGCTTGCCGGATGCCACCATGTTGACGTTTGGGGCAGAACACAGAAAGCCCGGGACTGGGGAGAAGAAACCCAAACACATGATGGGTTAGAAACTGGTGACGTCAAATTGGTTTAATCGGGACTGAGGGATGTCACTGACAGCGTTGCCTATTGATTTGAAGGTGTCATTTCCCCGCTTTTCCTCTTCTCATCTCCACTCTCAATCTCCTTAAAGCAACTTATCTTAACTACTCAGTCACCCTGAAACCTGGAAATAAACACTTCTACCTTTATCTTGCTTATAAGTTCTGAAGGATCCTATATATTAGAGAGGATTCCTGTCAACATGATTTAGCCTCTTGATGAGTAAAACAGATGGTTCTGTGCCTGTGTCAGGAATCAATAGCTGGGATATTAACACTAGTCCCACACCCACCTTACTGCAGACGTGGAAAAGTTGCTAAATACCTTGGCCTCTGTCTTCCATCTTTAACAAAATGTTAAATTACCCATTGCTATTTTCCTAGAAGCATGGGAAGGATTAAATTAACTTTGAAGAAGAGAGTGTATCGTTTCTCAGAGACAAGACAGGATATCGTTCAGCACTTCTGTAGTGGTGAACCTATAGAACTTACCTTTCATCTTCAGCCGGCAGCCCAGGTAGTAGGCCACAAGACTCATAAGATGTTTATTTTTACTGTCTATGTATTTCTGTTCTTCATCGTGATCTTTTCGTTCTTCATCGTGATCTTTTCGTTCTTCTGTAAACAAATTCAGAAGAGCAGGTCACATTAAGCAAATCGCACTTCACACAAGACCAAATCAGTGTTCAGTTATAGCACAAGGACGTAAAATATTCTCAGTGTAACTATGTGATATTCTGACAGGAATGTTCTAACGAGCCCTAGACTAAGTCACCCTAGAAGTAAATGAGCCTGCTTTTCAGATCCATGGGACAAAATCTCCCTCATCTAGTAGATCTTAATCACATATCCTCTGACCTAAGTCAGTGCAAATAATTAAAACTTTTCCCCCAATATCTTCATAAATTGCCCTAAATGCTTTCCAGAAGCATTGCTGCAATACTGATTTATCTCATCATATATCACTGTCAATGAATGGTTAGAGAAATTTCTATAGGAGACTAGACCGACGGATGAATTCTAACAACTTTTACTGAGAAAAGAATCTGTGGAGCAGGCGTGGTGGCTCACGCCTGGAATCCCAGCACTTTAGGAGGCCCAAGCAGGCAGATCACTTGACCTCAGGAGTTCAAGACCAGCCCGGCTAACATGGTGGAGCTCTGCCTGTACTAAATATACAAAAATTAGCCATTTGCAATGGTGCTCACCAGGGATCCCAGCTAATTGGGAGGCTGAGGCACCAGTACCAGGGTACTCCCTGCTCTTGATGGTGCCTCATACACATTCCACAGGTTCTATTAGGAGCAGGGTCCCCTTCGAGCTCCCCACAGCGGGTACTGTGTGCTATCACTGTGTTTCCCCCAGTGTCCCCAGAACACAGCTTTGCCTACTGGGCCTCAGCAGAAACCGGAACCGAATGGAAGTTCAGTAGTCTCAGACATTTAGACCAACAGACTGGATGCTACTTTCTCTGCAGGATCTTATACGATACAGAGAGGATTACTGTAAACATGGATTTAGCCTCTTGCTGAGAAAAACAGGTGGTTCTGTGCCTGTGTCAGAAATCAACAGCTGGGATTGTAACCCCAGTCTCACACCCGCCTTACTGCAGACATGAAAAAGTTGCTAAATACTTCGTCCCCTGTCTTCGATCTTTAATTAAATGTTAAAGTACCCATTTCAATTTTCTACAAGTATGGGAAAAATAAAATTAATTTTGATGAAGAGAATGATTAGATTCTTGAGAGAAGAAAGGACATGGCTCATCAGTTTCATGGTGGTGAACCTATAGAACTTACTGGATGTCATGAGCTGGTAGTTCTGGAAGTAGGCCACCTGGCTCAGAAGAAGTCTAATCTTGCTGGCTGAGAAATTCGGTTTGGTCTCTTCCTGCTGGGAGTAGGAATTGTCGATGGTATGTGGAAAGTTCACCTCTGTGGTTTTCGTGGAACAAGTCCCGCCAGATGTCGCCATGCTGACATTTGGGACACCACAGGTAGAGCCAGGGACTGGGGAGAAGAAATCCAAACACACGACGGGTTAAAAACTGGAAATCGCCGGGCGCGGTGGCTCAAGCCTGTAATCCCAGCACTTTGGGAGGTCGAGGCGGGTGGATCACGAGGTCAAGAGATCGAGACCATCCTGGTCAACACGGAGAAACCCCGTCTCTACTAAAATACAAAAAGTTGGCTGGGCATGGTGGCCCATGCCTGTAATCCAAGCTACTCAGGAGGCTGAGGCAGGAGAATCGCCTGAACCCAGGAGGCGGAGGTGGCGGTGAGCTGAGATCGCGCCATTGCACTCCAGCCTGGGTAACATGAGTGAAACTCTGTCTCAAAAACAACAACAACAAAAAAAAAACTGGAAATCAAATAGGTTTAATCAGGACTGGGGGATGTCAATAACTCAAATTCTTAACTTACTGTTGAGAAAAACTTGATCCGCACAGCACTTTAGGGTCCTTAACCGCAAAAACAAGGTTCGTAATGCTTCAGCTGGGAGCTGAAGCCGCTGCCTGTAGCTCAGACTCTGACAAGAGTGTGGGAGATACTGGCCAGAGTCCCAGGTAACGGCCTGCTGTTGCAATAACAGAATCAGAAGCTGGGCGTGTCATGGAATCTTAGGAGCCCTTCATTCCAATTGCCCAGGGTTTGCCAAACCCAGGCCTCCTGGTCTTACCTGAGGTTACAACCGATGGGGACCATTCCTCTATCAGTCACTCTCAGTATTTGTGTACCCTTGTGACAATGCCACAGTCCCATCTCATTCCCAATATATCTAAGCACGTGCCTCATTTTTCATCTCTTGTGTGTATAAAATCAAGGCAGAAACAGTTTCCCAACATGTGATATTTTCTTAATGCTAGTCATGAAGTCAGTCACCCCTCCTTCTCATGTGTTAAAACAGAATTGAAGGCTTTTCCACAAGTTTTACATATCAACCTATTACACTGCCATGTTATCCTCTGACTCTTCTGCAGTTTTTTCTGTATCCACTAGAAAGTGAATGAGTAATTCATTTCTTAAAAATGTTTTCTTTCCTGGCTCAATATTCTTCTTGCTGCATCCCATGGTTATGCTGATTTATATTTTCTTCCTGGCAGATATCACTACACTGATATTTGTGGCAGAAGAGACTTCTCATTACACTTAAGACCAGTTTGATATCCCTATATCCAAAGCTTCCTCTATATGGGATGATTTGTTTTTTAATGTGACTGAACACTAAATCTCATTCTTGTCGCTTAAGGATGTCAATTTACTCCCAGAAGAGCTCTTTTCAAGGTGTCAAGTCATCAAAATCATTTCTATAGGGATCTCCTGAAGGCATATGTGGCCATCTATCTTGGGAAGTCTGGTAAACCTGATATGATTTTGTTGTTTTCATTTCGTTTGTCCATATATTGAAAATAACAGGGCCATGAGTGGTCCTTATGGAATACTGTTTGAGAGATGTTTTTCTGAGTTGGCCTAATGCCGTTGAGGTGTGGTTGCATCCCACTAACCAAACACAGCAAGATCAAGGTGATGGTCAGGGGTGGTTGGTGGTCCTCCGTGTTGCTGTGCAGTAGGAGGTGAATTTGAGATGACAGGAACGAGTAGGGAAGAGCGATCCCCTGAACCACCTCCTCACTTTCTCAGCTTTCATCGCCACCCAGGTTTTGTGAGCCTGGGACTTGGGAGACTGTTCTGTAGCCCAGGTCTCCTATGTTTGGCTGCTTTCTGGGCTTGTCTGAGTTGAGGGTGCAATGGGTGTGACCCAGGGTTGCCCAGCATTCACGTGGAAGTGAAGCAAGGAGGACTGGATCAATCCCATTGGAAAGCGTACCTCTCTACAGCCCCCATCATCCTCCGGCAACACCGTAAGCATACTGCTTTGACATACATCAAAGGCTTTATGTATACACATGTTCTGGGGTCTGGGAGGCCTGACATTCTGTGGCAAAAGGAAAATCTGTGAAGTTTCTTCATTATAAAAATGATGAAACTGCAGGTTCACCAAGTTATGTGGCTTACTTGAGGTCACTCAGGGATGAGTTTTGAGCACTGCCAATAAAAGGAATCACTAGGATCCATGTCATTCAGTAAATATTCATACAGTTATTCAGTAATTATATATTGATCAATTTGTACCAGGCATTTTGCTCAAAACTGTGCACATATTTGGGCAGCATATCTTCATCATAATCCTCAAGGTAATACTGTTATCCTAAAAATCAGGTAAGAAACCTGAACAAGAGGGCTAGCAAATCATGAATTTGGCCAGATTTCCATTTTTTGGTTTCTGTGATGCTGGATGAACAACCAGAAGGAGTCACAGGAAGAGTATTCATTCCTGTGCTATCATCCAGGACAGAGGGGTGCCCTCCTAGTATATTGGGACCAAAATTCAGAAGTGTCTCCAACCTTGCTTTAACAGCATGGAAAATGACCTCTATTTTCCATTAGACCTGGAATTTCCCTGGACCTTTGGAATATACAAGAGAAGTATGAGACTTAGGCCTTCCTTTGACTGTATTTAATTTTCTCTTCTACAGAATGCCAATGATTCTAAGACTGTTGCTTTTCTTTCTTTCTTTCTTTTTTATTTTGAGACAGAGTCTTGTTGGCACCAGGCCGAAATGCAGTGGTGCAATCTGGGTTCACTGCAACCTCTGTCTCCCGGGTTCAAACAATTCTCCTGTCTCAGTCTCCCGAGTAGCTGGGACTACAGGCATGTGCCACCACACCCGGCTAATTTTTGTGCTTTTAGTAGAGACAGGGTTTCATCATGTTGGCCAGGATGGTCTCAAAATCTTGATCTCGTGATCTGCCCACCTCGGCCTCCCAAAGTGCTTGGGACTACAGGTGCAAGCCACCATACCTGGCCGACTTTTGCCTTTTTATATCCACAATATGTTTTATGAAGAAGATTTTACTAATAGCTCTATTTAGAAAGAATAAATATGAGCTATAATTTAGGTTTTATGCCCTGGACTTACTATGATTTCTGTTTTGAGATTAAATTCTCACGTAAATCGAAAAATACTTATTGCTTATGAAAGCAAACTAGTTATTGGTTTGAGGTTTTGACACTGAAGCACACACTTTTGACTTTATCATTGTCTGTCCCCATCAGTGCTGCTCACTGTCTCCCAGTATGACCTGGCCATGCCCCTGCACTTAACCTCATCCTCCTCATCCATCTCCATGCACTGTCCAATTCCATCAGTGATTCAGGCTCCTCTCAAGGCTCCCTGAAATAGGTACAGGTCTTGGGACATCAGACACATTCCAGGCACAAACACAGCCCATACTGTAAAGCGGACAGCTGTGTTCTCACCTCCCTGAAGTTGGCAGTGATGTCGTAGGACACAAAGAAACACTTTCCCTTGTTAGGGGGTCTCTTCTTCATGTCTCAGGGCCTCTGATCTAGTGAACACAACTGTCCTGAATGTGAACGAACTTGCCAAATTCCTGGTTTCTTGCTAGGTGGCTAGAATACATTCATAAGACTTCCTTACTTACCCATGTTTGCTGAAGCCTGAATTCTTACCAGTATGATTCCTTTTCTTGTAAGAGGTAGCTTAGGGAAGATTGGCCCCATTGCCATGCAAAGCGAGGTAAAGTGAATTTCTACTCAAAGCAAGCTTGAATTTGAAAGTAGGTCTTCCACTGTTTCAAAGCTGGCCTGTAGGTCCAACTGTGCACATATTTGGACATCATACCTTCATCATAATCCTGAGGCATGTGACCTCAAGGGCTTGTGTGTCTGCTCTACTCAGGATAAAGTTATTTCTCATTATGGTAAGTTATAATTAACTTACCAGAATATAATTCATTATCAAGATAAAGTTATTTATCATTATGGCAAGGACACATTTAGAAGACTTATTAAATTTACTTCTTTATTTCCCCAGCTGGAAACAGTCTATAGCTACTGATATCATCAGTGTCCTCTGAATACCTTGTCTGTGTTAACAGCTTTGACTCAACATGGAGCTGAGGTGTTGGTGTACTGTATTGCAAGATGCTGAAATATGGCTGAAGTCCAGGGTCACTGGCCCAGGACAGCCACTGAGGTCATCGCATGAGGCATGGGCCACTGGTTCCAATGAACCCACCATCACTACACTTCTCATGAATCACCAGGCACTAGACTGAGAATTCCGTGAAAGCTGGGAATCCTATTTTACTCACCTCTGTGGTCATGGTCCTTAGCTAAGGGCACAGCAGAGAGGGGCCTCTCAGCAGTGTTCATCCATTATTGAATAAAATGGATTATAAACCTCTAACCCTATCACCTACATTTCTGTCCCCACTGTCTTGTAAGGGTTGCTTTCTCTCACAATGCTGCAAATCCCCTTCCCTACAGAGGCGCTTGCCCTACACCACCCCTGCCCCAGCATCCTCTCCTGTGGGAGCTTCAAGGAAGACTTGCCTATCCTGAAAATGTTCTTTTATGCTTCCCCATCATTAGGAGCACCTAATGATTTGACACACCCTCCCATCCTCCGTGCTGCCACAACACCTCAGTTGGGTAGAACTACCGTATCTTGTTGAAATGATCTGTTTGTGTTCTTCCACTCACTGCCTTGAGATTCTTTAGAGAGACATTAAATACCTGAATCCCAAGTGCTTAGCACAGTATAAAGAAAATTACATGCTCAATAAATATATATGAGAAACTTCCCTCAACTGAAAGTGCAGAGGAATATTATTAGTATCTCTGCTTCATAATCAAGCAAGGGACACTTACTCTGGCACCTGACCTAGGGCAGAGCGGTTTAATGTAAGAATGGGCGTCTCCAACCCTTCTCCAAGCATGATTATTCCCTCTAACCCACAGTGACCTGAAGAGCATCCACTGCTACGGCAGCACCGACGTTGGGGCTCCTGGGTCTGGGGAGTGTTCATCTGTGACTCAATAAAACTGATTACAACCTCTGACCATTTCTTGGAGTTGAAGCTGCCCCTCACTACAAACCTGCTCTGATCTAACCTGTGGCTCTCCTTGGCAAGAAGCAGGACATTCCTGTTGAGTCAGTTTCTCTCAGTCC